GGCGTGCAGAGCAGACAAACTACTTGCATTCGTGAGTATTAGTAAGGCATCACTCTTCCAACGGTTTCTCCTTCAAGCACGGTTAGCATCTACAGCAGGCGATAATTCTTCCATATCCTTCTAAAATTGTGGCATGGCAACGCCCGCAGCCGACCTTGCATAGAAGCAGGCGCCAGGGTGACAGGACTGGGACGTCGATGCGAACGGAACAAAGTTTTCCTGCTGTCGCGTACCCACATTTGGCCGGGCCGCCATCACCGCCAGCAATCGCGTTCCAAGAACGCTTCCATCCAGTGAAAGGAGTCGTGAACAGCCTTCGATGGAGAAAGGGCAAGCCTATACTCGCGGTTTGCATCGATATGCTCGACCCACTGCTGCCATGCTGGAGGAATGGGTACGGAATGTGGTACGGAATGTGGTACGGCAAATGTGGCAACGGCCACAGGCAACTCTCACCGAAGTAAGACATGCCTACACCTTAACATGTCGTCATTTAAAGGCGCCTCGTTTGCGCTTCTTGCCATGTCAACTCAGATCAGCATTCCTGATTCGCGACACGACATTCATTACGAGCCGGGGTGACGACCTGCGTTTTGATTGCCCTCGGTCGCAATTGGCGGCGGGAACAGGTGGTGACACTAATCCCGTGATATTTACTGCGTAATGTTGAATAAATTACACCAAACTGTTCGCTATTTATGTAAAAGGTTCGGTTGCCTCCGTGCGGATTTGTCCATCTTCTAAGGGCACAGACTTCGAAATGTGAGAGCGTATGGGATGCGTATGCTTTATGTGCCTGCGTCTTGCCGTGGGATGTGAGCTGACGCCGGTGGCCTGGAACTATACATCCAGGTGTAAAACGCAAAAAGTAATGAGGGCACTGGAATCTGACTTGGCTAAGTGCCATCTCTCGTGGCAGGTTTACAGGGGAAGTAAGTGCCTGTGGTGATGGCGGCGGCGGCGGCGGCGGCAGCGGGGCATGATTGGACTATCGGAGCCCGCTGTCCTCCGCTCTGGCCGGCCGGCCACGCCCAACCTTGGCCGGGCCCGGCGGCGGGCGGCGTCCTCCGACTTCGGCGTACGCCCGCGGTGCCGAGGGCCGGCCGGGCGGCGACCGGCGAGGAGGGGAGGGCGCAGTCCGAGTAAGCGTGCGGGCTCCACAGGGCGGGAAAGGTCGGGGTCAGGAGAGGACGGCCGCAGGAGGAGGGCGGGGTAGGGGTGCCGAGGACCGCGGGCCCGACGGTGGGCGGCTCTGGGGACCTTGAGCGGTCCTGTCCGTGGTGGTCCTCGGTAACGGGAGTCGGATGACCCCCCCCTCCCCCCCCCTCACCCCACTCAGCCAGCCGAGGAAGGGGGCAACTGGGAGGGGCCAGCTCACACCCTGGAATCTGGGTCACACGCTCTTGACACGACTGAAGCACGCCTCATGGCTTCCCTCCGGAACAGACTTATCGTGGGAGCGCGTACTATCACAGATTTCTGCTCACTTTGCAGGTGCTCTTAGAGCATGCTGACAAATCACTCTGAAGTGTTTTGGTTTCTACCGCCGACATTTTCCAAACGAAAGGCTCTCATCACCCCGTGATTGGAAATGCATTTCCCAGCATCGCGC